ACACGGGCAACAAAGTCCTCTTCCTTGTATTTTATGACATGGTGGCATCCATCTTCCTTGGCTTGAGCAGCCTTCTCTTCAGTTGAGACAGTTCCAATAACAGTGGCGCCAAGTGCATTTGCCCATTGGCACAATAGAGATCCAACTCCACCTGCTGCAGCATGAACAAGGACTACATGTCCAGGTTCAACCTGTTAAAACAGAAATGCATGCATGATGTTTTTTTGAAAAGCAACAAGCTATGGAAGAGGTTGTTGGTACATTAATGTGTCAACGAGATCTACCTTGAACAAGCGGCGAACCAGATACTGTGCCGTCATACCCTTCATCATGATGGATGCTGCAATGATAGGATCAATAGAAGTAGGAACAGGAACAACTCTATCTGCTGGGAGAATCTGCTCTTCAGCATATGAGCCTATAGGTTCAAAAACATAACCTACAAGATCTCCAATTTTTGGGTCAGTTACTCCAGGCCCCACAGCTATCACCTCTCCAACGGCTTCAATGCCTGCAACTGTAGAAGATAAGTCTCTGCGCGGTTTTAACCAATAGAAACAGAAAAAATGTACACCCCAGACCTGGCGTAAAGGGCAATGTAAGAGCCTTAAAAAGGCCGGTGCGTAAATAAACATCTTTGAAGTTAACCCCAATGGCTTTGTTCTTAACTCGTATCTCTCCCTCTTTTGGCTCCCCTACCTCAACATCTTCCCACTTCAGGACCTGTAATCAATATCCATCCAGATTATTGAATCAAAGCAAAAAGAAACAACAAGACCTGAGCAAAGAAGTCATTCCAAGTAAATGAGAGACCTGAGGTCCACCATATTCATGAACCCTGATAGCCTTCACCATTTCTCCTTAATTTGGTTCTGTTATTGCCTGGGCTATGTTAAGCATCCTCACCAATATATATACAAACCGGTTTGGCAAAGATGAGTGTCTGATATTCCTTGTATCGTTTGAATTTTGAAAGGATAAGAGATTAATCTTTTGCTTGTAATTGTCTCAATACATCTGCTTAATTTGACCCAAAATTGTCATAATATTATTAGTACATATTGTTTACGTCCACAATTTGTATAGGAAATGCTAATGGAAATTTAAAATTCAGTTCAAAGGAAAACGTAAATCGACTTGGATGATGGGTATTCTCAACAAGTCAAGGAAAACTGCTCAGGGCTTTAACTCTTTCATCATCAATGACCTCAAAGCTGTATCTCCCCCATACAAATACAAATATAGAGCATTGAGTAATCAGTGACGAAGTCAGGATTTAAGACGAGGGGAGGCTAAGCTTGTCAACATTTAAATTAAATTTATGTCTAAAGTATTATTTTTTCTTTCTTTTTTTTAGTTGTATTAATACTTTTACATAAAATTTAACTTGATAATTTTATATAACAAATATATAATAATTGAAAATTATTTTTTTCTTCTTAAACATGGTGCTTATTGAATATTTTTACTTGGATCAAAAACATTTTTTATAATAGATCAAAACAATTTTTAGTTGTTATTCATTTGTAATATAAATAATAAGTTAAGTAACATAAAGTTGATAGAATAGGACAACCAAAGTGAATCAAAGGGTACACATAGTTATAAAGTTGAAAACTTGTGTCTAAAATCAAAATTGGCCATGCTCAATGTGAAATATATTGTATTTTGAAATTTTTTTTATAATTATTGAATAATTATTTAGTTATATTTGTGGAAAAAAAATGCATAAAATAAAACACATCTAAAAAAATAATGTGCACTAAGTTTAAAAACATATCAAAAGTTAGTATAGGAAGTGACACAATAAATTAAATAATTTGGCTAAAAAATTTTTGAGTTAGAGGTAAGTTTTAATATTTGATCTAGAAAAAAAAAAAAAACGATATTTGTGACTAAAATGAAATTTTAGACTAATTTTAGATATGCAAAGGTGATGATTTAAATAGTAGGAGGGAAGACAGGGTGGAGAAATTTTAAAAGTTCAGAGATTTTTTAGCAATTTTTTAGCTACAAATATTAGAGATTAAAAGGTAATTTTTATATTTAATAGATTTATTACTAATTGTTATGATATCATTCTGTTTTAAATTTAATAACAAGATTTACAAAAAGACTAATGATGATTGTTTTCATAAATATTAAAAATAATTAAGTAAATAAAATAAAAATTAGAGATTAAATTCATAGATACAAAATTTAAGGACTATTTTTAAAACTTTTCACAAGACCAGGGGTGCCATAGCCCTCCCTGGTCTCTTCATTGTTCCGCCCATGTGAGTAATGTTGTAGAAAAGCTAGGTGGTGAATTTTAACCAAAACATTGATCAAGTTCATGGGAAGCTAACAGTTCAACAGACTTAAAACTTTTTGAAAAAATGCATTTTTATGGCAGAACATGGCTGAAAAGTAAAATGTAACCCCACCTACTGATGAGAAAAACTGGGGGCTCACATTTTTTTTTTCTTTTTTCTTTTTTTATTGGCAAAAAGAGATTTTATTATTGGGAGTTCAAAGGGGACTCATAGCTATTGCTCTATGGAATCAACACGATTGATTTAAATATTTTTCTACTCTTGAGGTGTGCATGTGCTTGTGCTGCTTCAGACAAGGGGTACTTGTGATTCACCCAAACTCGCAAGATGCAATACTTACCAAAACTTATTATATGCCCACGAAGCTTCAAGACATCCAAAAGGTCCCTACCAATATTAGCTACTTTTAGTTAGCAACTCTAGACAGAAATGGTTTAAGACTGCAAAATAGAAGTTAAATCCAGGCACTATGATTATGAACCGATATTTTTAAAATCTTAAGACACGTTAAACATGATCAAGTTCTTAATTGTGGTGCACCTGCAATTTTGGTTGCATTGATCTAAGTGCACTAAACTCTTGACAAATGACAAAGTTTTAACTGTTACACTAGCAACCTCTTTATTTCCCTTTCCCCCAATTGTCCTTGTTCAAAAAAAAAAAAAAAACTGTTAATTGCGGCAAATTGCTTTGCCCCTTCTTTGAAACTCTAAACCTTATAACTCAATGGCTAAAATTCAAAGCTATATGTTTTAACAAAGAATTTGCATTGGCTGCCAACATAAGGAGAGAACAAATTAGAGGAAGGCCTTTAGACCACTAGTTAAATTTCTAAATGTAAAAAGCTTTCTCACTTGTTGACGAAAGTTTGAACTTGTGTAATCTTTTTTTTTTATATACATATATATGTTAAATCATTTATTCTATTTTAGCAAAAAAAATAAAAATAAAAACAAGTTAAAAATAAATAAATAAATTTGGAACATAAGTAAATAAATAAATAAAACATCGAAGTCTAGTTCTAAGCCCTAAGGTGTGGTTACCCCTAAAAAAGCACACACCATATTACACAGAACACTCTTCTATTCTCACCAGAGCAGGTAGTTAGGTGAATAAAGTAGCATATATCCACTACCTGGGAAGTTTGTTTCCTACAGAATCATGGACCACATCAACACCCTTTCCTGATGTTATTCCTTGGACACGGGAAACAAAATCCTCTTCTTTTTATATAATGACATGGTGGCATCCGTCATCCTCGAGCAGCCTTCTCTTTGATTGAAACAGTTCCAATAACAGTACCGCCAAGTGCACTTGCCCATTACCATAATAGAGATCCAACTCCACCAGCTGCAGCATGAACAAGGATGGTGAGTCCACGCTCAACTTGTGTGTTAAACAAAATTACATGATGCATTGAGAAAACATAAGGCTGTAAGGGTTTGTTTTTATCTCAGATAAAATTGTGAAGAGGAGGGCTAACATCAGGATAGTAGTGGTTAGAGAACATGCAGTATTTATATTTTTCACCCTGAAGCAGCTATAAACCAGATATCGAGTTATCATATCCTTCAGCATGATGGATACTGCAATGATAGGAAGAACAGGAGGAGGAACAGGAACAACTTCATCGGCAGGGAGGATTTGCTCTTCAGCATATGAGCCTATAGAATCACCAGCATAAACCACACTATCTCCAATTTTTTGGCCAGTCAACCCAGCCCCCACAACTATTAACTCCCCAACAGCTTCCATACCTGCTATAGAAGAGAAATTTAAGAATCTGCAGCAGTGTCATGCTTTTTTCTACAAAGATTCACAACAACAATACCACTTCAAACAGTACATGCATGGTAGCAACAACCTTGCAGCTGAAAGTGCCCCAGGGGATAATTTTCACACAACAGACAGTCATAATCCCGCAAACATCCTGTGGAAAGAATGATAACATTGAACATAGAGAGCATGTTACTGAAAGAAGCACTCGAACCAGTCATGATATATCTGAGTTTAGTTAACCACATGAGCAATTTGCTGTATTCTCTACAAGATTCAAAAAGAATTGATCCTTTTCACAAGGTATCTTCAATGAAGAAGGAAAATGCAACCAACCAGGAAGAAAGGGCATTGCAGCAGCCTTAAAAACAAGACTTAACGGAAAATACACGTCAATGAAATTAAGCCTAATTGAAAGTAAAATATTCCTTCTCTGGCTTAAATACTGCAGGTAAAGTGTTGGTCTTTGGTAATCTTTGCTGGAAAAATGGATCAGTTGGAAGGTTTTTGGAACCTTGAAAATGAACAGAGAAGAAATAAGGAGAAACAATGGAGCAAGAATGGCTCCCGATGTATATTTCCAGATATCGGATTACAGAGAAACAGAGCAATACAGAGAGCAAAGAATATATTGATTCAACAACACTCTCTCCCAAGTCAACTCACCCAATACACATACACGTTCCACCATGCTGCCAATTCTGGTACCTTCCCCTCTCACCACTGGACTCGTCACGAGCAATAAAGCCAAACAACCGTCACTGACGCAAGAACTAAAATTACTTACTATAATCAACAGCTGGTTTTGCTGATGTGATCCTATCATGCATTATGGCTTGTTTCTGGTCATGATCCTAGAATATCAGGTCTGTCTGATCACTGTAATTATTATTAATAACATAGCTAGGTGGTGACTTTCTGCCAAATTGTTCAAATTCATAGTAAACTAAGATTACAGTTTTGACAGACTTGCAACTCTTGGGAAATACATGTTTTAATTATACATATTATTGCATAACATGGCTCACAAATAACATGTAAATCCACCAATAGATGAAAACTGGGGACTCATTGCCATTGCTTTACGGAATCAACACAACCGATCCAGATGTTTTTCTACTCTCGAGGTCTGCATGTGCCTGTGCTGCTTCAGACAAGGGGTACTTGTGATTCACCTGAACTCGCAAGATGCCTGAAGCAACGCTGGCAAAAACCTCCCCAGCAGTTTCAAGCAGCTCATCCCGAGTTATTGTATACTGCATCATGGTAGGCCTAGTCAAGAACAGAGATTTTGCTGCCAATGCTGACAATGGAACTGGATCTGGTAGACCAGATGATTGCCCGAAACTAATCATATGCCCACAAAGCTTTAAGCACTCCAAAGACCTCTACAGTATTGGCAACTTTTGCTAAGAAACACTGGACAAAGATGGTTTATGACTGGCAAAATAGAAGTTAGATCCAGGCACTATGAACCAATATTAAATCAGACTCACGAAGCATGGTCAAATTTCTCATGGCAGAAAATTGCTTTGCCCCTACTTTGATACTCTAAACTCTTCAATTCAATAGCTTTTACCCAAGGCTATATGTTTTAACAACAAAAGAATTTGTAGTGACTGCCAAGGAAAAAACATAAGGAGCAAAGAAAAAACAAATAAATAAATCAAAGTTTTGGTCTTAGGTGTAGTCACTTCCACAAAGCACAAACTAATCCATAGAAATCTCTTCCATTCTCACATAAGCAAATAGTAGGGTGAATAAAGTTGCATCCATTACCTG